GCGGAGTGAGCATCGAAGAATGGTGGAGAAACGAGCAATTCTGGGTGATTGGTGGTGTCTCAGCTTACCTCTTCGCTGTTGTGCAAGGTCTTCTCAAGGTTTTAGGCGGCAATGACACCAATTTCACAGTCACAGCCAAGTCACCAGATGATGAGGATTTTGGAGAATTATACGCGTTGAAATGGACAACCCTCCTCATCCCTCCAACCACAATCTTAGTCATCAACCTTATTGGAGTCGTTGCTGGGATTTCGGACGCCGTAAACAACGGGAACCAATCTATGGGGCCTCTTCTTGGGAAGCTCTTCTTTGCTTTTTGGGTGATCGTTCATCTCTATCCCTTCCTTAAAGGTCTTCTGGGGAGGCAGAACCGGACGCCAACCATTGTCATCATTTGGTCAATTCTCCTGGCTTCCATCTTCTCGTTACTCTGGATCCGAATTGATCCATTTGTGTTGCAAACCAAGGGACCTGACACGAAACAGTGCGGAATCAATTGCTGAAAATACTTGTATTCCTTTCATCCTTTTCTGAAAATGTGCATCTGCAGAAGATATATCTTTACAGAGCATGCACAAGTATGAATAAAGGTAGAGTAGGGTACCAAATTTGTGTGTAGCTTTGAAGTGCAATCAATGTACCAAGATTTCTAAGGGTAGTTTAGTATTGTTGTGGTATGAAAATAAACAGTTGTAAAATAAAGTTGTTGAGTATTTGGTAAACCTTTTTTGTAAAGTGCTTTTAACCAAAAAAAAAGTATCTTAGCGTTGGGTTAACTTTTATATAAAATATATGTGAATATGTTAAATGACTAAAAATAATATGGTATTTAATGTGATATAATAATTGCCAAAGAGAATAATGCAAGGGCAAAGGTTATCATTTTGTAAAATGTGCAGGAGTATACTGGCAATGTGCTTTGAAAAGAGAAAACACTTTTTTAGAAGCATTGTAGACCCTGCTTCTGCTTTTTTCTATTGTCATTGACAACCCTTTTTTAAATAAGCACTTTTTTTTTTTACCAAACACATTTGATGTTTCAGTTTTTTTTTTTTTTTTTTTTTAAGCATCACAACCCCAAACCAGCCATAAGTGAGTTGGAAAAGTTTTGTTTGCAATGACTTTGGAACTAACCAACTCACAACGGAGCTCAATGGATTCTCAGTTTATTACTCTGTTCTTGTGTTGTGACACCGCCATTCGCATTTTACTAACGTCTGATTTACAAGAAAAACTTGCATGCAACATCCACCAAATGTATATGGTCATGTGCTGCTCACATGGTGTTGCAAATGTGAGTGAGATGTCGGATGCAACGGGTGCATCACAATTTTTTCTCCTGATTTAGGGTTTAGCACAAAAGAAATAAAACATTCCCGGAATAATGATTGAAAAAGGGTGTAGGAAACATAAGCATCGAAAATTCGAAGCAGTTAGATGTGCTTATTTGAACAATTTCTTCGATTTTGAAGTTAAAAATGCTATCACCAAATAAAATACAAAGATAATTTGCTATTGAAAAAAGGGTACCAGATCAAGAATGTAGTATCTCGAAAATCGTCGAGGTTTGTACTGAACAGCCAGGTGAATCAGAATACAGTGCAGGATATATGCTACAGGTGCTTGCCGGACGTACACTAGGAAGAGAGTGTTGAAACTCCTGTGTTTCCTGTAATTTAGTCGTTCCATGCCAGAGTATCGGACGGGGTTCAGCTTCATCTATTTTCGGCGAAGAATGTCCTTCAGTATCCTTGTTAAGCTGTGAAAGTTATTGATGAAGTGACTCTCCGTTTTACCATGGAAGCAATATGAAACTGCAGAACAAGATGGTTGCATACCGGTGCAGAAAACTTTTTGTCACCAATAGTCTCCACAAGAACAAATGCCGTCTTTGAAATGATGGAATCTATTAGCATCTCTAACTACAATAACTCTTTCTGTGATCTTGGATATAAATTTAGTTGCATTATGGCAATCCAAACAAACCCGGAGATTCTTAAAGATTCTAATTTCTGCCCCGGGTGCTGTTTCAATAAGGGCAAAAGCAATGGCCAGCTTCTCACTATGAACCTTCATCATTAACTCCTTCTCTTCCTCCTCAACATCATGCAAAGCAGTCACAGTTTCAGTCTGAAATCCAGCCTCCGCCATTTTTCCCATTAACTCATCCAGCATCCTATAGATTGCCGTTGCTTGAGGATGAGATCGATCACTACATGTAAACACATGCGGGGTCTCACCAATCTCAACGAGAGTGCATCCCGGAGTCTTAGCCAAATTTCTATTCTTAACTACCTGTCGTACTGAAGCAGCCTTCGGAAAGTTCCTGTCAGCTGAGTATACGTTGGAGAGCAAGACATAATATCCTGTATTATCTGGGTCCAGTTCAAATAGATTTTCAGAAGCCACACGCGCCAGTTCGGTGTTCTTGTGAATCATGCAAGCACCAAGCAATGCACCCCAAACGGGAGGACCTGGCTCAACTGGCATTTCCTTTATAAATTCCAAAGCCTTCTCTAACTTTCCAGCTCTGCCAAGGATGTCAACCATGCAGGCATAATGCTCGGGCAAGGGCTCAAAGCCATGGTTGTGAACCATATGATCCAAGATTTCTTCACCTTCTCTCACCAAGCCCGCATGGCTACAAGCATACAAGACGGATAGAAAAGTAACTGCGCTTGGGGAAATCCCAGAATGCAACATCTCTGTAAAGAGTTTTAGTGCTTCGTGCCCATCACCATGAAGGCCGTAAGCAGATATCATGGCATTCCAAGTAACCACATTTTTCTCTGTCATCGAGTCAAATAACTTCCGAGCTTCCACAATGCTCCCACACTTTGCATACATGTCAACTAGAGAAGTCAATACATAGATGTTAGACTCAAGATTTTTGCTCTTAATCAAACCATGGGTCCATTTCCCAAGACTTATGGCTCCGAGCTGAGCACAAGCTGAAAGAATACTTGTAACTGTAACAGGGTTTGGACTGAATTCAGACATCATTTCACGGAAAAGAGATATTGCAGTCTCCGTCAGCCCGTTTTGGGTATAACCCGAGATCATGGCATTCCAAGATGCCAAAGTTTTCTCCTTAGACTGATCAAACAGCTGTCGTGCCAATTCAATCTCATTCAGTCTACAATAAACAGTAACAAATGCAGTCGAGACAGAAGGATGTGAAACAATACCAGATTTCACACAGAAAGTTTGAAGAGAGCCAGTGAGATGCAGATGACCAAAGGGAGAAGACACAGGAATCAACCCAACAATTGTGCTTGAATTAACTTTCTCCCCAGAAGCAAGCAAATCCCTGAAAAGACTAACAGATGATTCGGTCTCATTGTTGCAAGTGTATCCAGCAATCATTGCATTATAACATATCAAATCCGGCTGGCTAATGTGTCCAAATAATAACCTTGCCGTCTCTAGCTCCTTACACTTCGAATACAACGAAACCAATCCGGTAAGCACATGAACATCAGAATGATATCCAGCCTTCAGAGCCAAACAATGAACTCTCATCCCTGCTTTCAACTCCTGCAACTCTGCCACTGCAGGAAGCACGGTTGCCAACGTCGTCGAATCAAAACCCATCCCACCCCCAACCATATCTCCAAAAACCTGCATCGAATCGGCGTAATAACAATTCCTCACCAACCCAGATATCATCGTATTCCACAAAATCGTGTCCTTCTCGGGCATTCCATCAAACACCTTCTGTGCTAGCTCAACCCGGGAAACCGTGAAGTAAAAGTCAACAACAATCGACCCTACATACAAATTCGATCCTAACCCATCAACAATCGAATGGGCGTGCAGCAAAATCCCATATTTCTCGTCCTTAAACCCCGAAGCGGCCGACACGGCGAAAGCGTAGGTAAACTTGTCGGGTTTAAGATTAGTGTTCTTCCGCAAATGGGTGTAGAGAGAAATGGCAGAGTAAGGCGCGGCATTGGCAGCGAAGCCTCGGATGACGACGTTGAAGAGGAAAAGGTCGGGTCTTGGAATGGAGAGGAAGAGGTCACGTGCGTTGCGCATGGCCTTGAGGTCGGAGAACTTGTGGGTGAGCTTGGTGACGGTGGCGAGGTCGTTTTGGTAGCCATTGAGGATGATCTGCGCGTGGGTCTGGGTCAGGTGAGAGAGACAGGTCGCATTGTTGAGAAGTCCGAGGAAGAAATTCCGATCAAATTTTGGCGCGCGGCAGCTGCTTATGTTCCTGCTAATCATATGTATTTGTCTTTTGTTTTGTGTCGAAACGCGGCAGTTATATTTAGCCGTTGCTTTTCCCGGCGTATGGCGGGGAATCCCATGTTCTCTTTCTAAATAAGAAAATTAGGTAAATAGGTCTTTATATTTGTCCCCAATTTACAATTGGCATTTTATGATTGATATAACTCCTCACTTTGATTCCTATGATTTAAATTGATAGAAGTAGTCCCTAAGTTTGTTTACCGTCAATCATTTTGGTTATTTAGTAACTCTGTTAAATATGGACCAAAATAACAAAAATACACTTAATTTAATAAACAATGGACCAAAATAATTCGACAAAATTGAGGATGCTTTTGTTGTTTTCTTCTTATTTAACAGCGATTTTTTACAGAATGATCAAAATGATTGACGGTGGACAAACTCAGAGACCATTTCTATCAATTTTAAATCTCATGAACCAAAATAAGGAGTTATGTCAATCTCAACAACCATTTTGATCCTTCAACTCGTTTATGTAGTCCCTCGACTCCCATACTTGTGCTAGGCAGAAGACAACTATGTAATAAGAATCCTTCGAAGTTGAGGTGAAAGTCTAACGTATGGCCGGACAGATCAACGGGTAGGTTGGGTCAGATTAACGGGTAGGGATGTACAGACCGGCGTGAGGTAGAATTTCTCAGATTTTAGGCATAACGGACACACCTGTTCAAAGGTAAAGACGATGAACGATGGTGAAAAAGGCATATGGTAATTACGATGTTTCCTATTCATTTCCTTTGGAACCTTTGTTTCTACACTGAATTCAATCCTTTGCTTCCTCTGCATTTCCTTTTCATCTGCGTAACACAAAAATTACACCGGAAAACACGGAGCCATCGGCCCTTTGCTCCGAAAAGAAGGGAAAAAAATTGGAATAGAACAAGATGACATTGGCTAAAAACGAAAAATTAATTTACAATCACGGTGAACTGACGGAGACATTTATCTCTGCCCGGGTATGTATTTATCCCTTCGGAATTGACAACGCGAGCTTATCATATTGGCTTTGGAGCTAGTCAGGATCAAGAAGATGTCTTGGTTGCCAAAATTGGCCGCTCGCCCTTGCCAAGTCTTGTTTCGTTTGCATGAGATGGGTCCTCAGGCTGTATTCCTCTACCTGTTTTGAGCAGCCAGTAATCAAAAGTTAATCAAGTACGGTTTTTATCAGCAATTAATGTTGCAACATGATTTGTCAAACTGAAGACACGCTCGGTTGACAAGAAATCAGTGTTCATCAAACTGAAGAACATTCAATACTACGACATAACATATATAACAGAGCCCCCAACCTCCCAAAGCATTCAAAAGTATTTGCTTTTCCTAATTACATTCTGTTCTTTAAAATAAATGGTCTAATTGTTTTACCTGCATAGCTGCTGCTGAAGCCAGCAGCACTTCACACTCGCCAAGCATGGCTTTCTCCTGTGCTGCTACAACAGCAAGTTCAGAAACCAAACTGTTCACGCCCTCCACCTACATCACATGAATGTAAAGTTCTGTGTTATTAGGCCTCCAAACACAACTTCTTGTTTTTTTCACAAGACATGCAACCTCTACATCATTGATCGTAGGTGCTACTTGGTGTTTGTCATAAAGAATGTGATAAAAGGAAGAAGGTTGAAAGCTATCACAACATGGTCAACGTGAAAATATAGAAACAAGAATCTCACCTGTGAGAGCAAAGAGCATATGGAGGATGCCATTGCCTGCATCACATCAACAGCTGAGCAGATCGCTACCTTCAAAGAATCCAAATCTGCCTGTAAAAGTGTAAGTTTATAGTGATGAGAAAAAGTCTCTTTCCATAAATCAAATTAATGATCTTTTACAACTTAACATACCCTTGCCCCTCCAGTCACTGGAAGACGCAGAGTGCTTGCCTCCAAATCTTCCATAGCCCCCGAGAATGCAGCAATATGATCGCTTTCAAGTAAATCCCAGTCGTCAAGGTAAGCTATCTGACCAATAATTAGAAAGGGTACAAGTCAGAAATAAATAGATATAATATGAGACCAAAATTTAACAGGAAACCTCTGAACTAAGACATGCACAACATGACTTATTATTTCTAACAAATGTCAACCTTGGCACTATTTTGCTCGGTTTTACAAACTGAATATGATTACAAACAGAACATGATGATAAGTTTGCCTTCATCGTCAACTCTCTTCTATTAGACAGATGGATTCTCAAAAATAGTTCCATTCCCAGATAAAAAGGCCGGTTAAAAGCAATTTCAAACATTTTCCAAAGGTTCACACGGATCAAATCTTAGAATGCATCCCAACTGCCTGGTGCAATAATCTGATGACCACACTAAATTCTTATATATTTTCCTTCATAACCTAGTCATTGACTTACAGGAACCCTTATGGATGAATGCAATCAATAAAAACATCGCAGATAACATGTCATCACTGTTGTGGGAAAGAGGCATTACTTGATCATTCAATACTGACTTCAGCTTAAGTTCAAGCTTCAACTGCTGGAGATCAATTCGTTTCTTGATTACTGAGTCCCACAAGCTTAGTGTAGTGTTCCACACATTCAATAAAGTTCTCTGCAACATCAATTAAATTCCGATGTAAGTTGACATAATAATCTTCACTTGCAAATTTGCAATAAGTTTGCACAACCCTGACCATGCAACAAATCAATACCATTGATAAAACCATTCAGTAATCTGAAATTAGTAAGACGGGACATGATAAACAATACTAGGAAATAGTTAAGAAATTAGTAGGTCAAAGAATTATGCCTAAAAATTTTCTAATTCAAAGGGAACAAACACCCACCTCTGCATTTAATTTCTGAACATAAAGTACAGCCTCTGCCCTTGCATTAGCAAATCGCCATTGCAAACATCTATTGTAAAGTAACCGCAACTGATGAGCATCTTCAATGCAACTTGCACCTTTTTTCCCCTTAAAATCTGCTATGAAACTAAGCACAGAAGTTGAACTGCTTGACTGACTAGAAGTACCAGATGGCCTTGCCTTAGATGGGCTAACTCCTCTTGAAGGAGGAGTAGATGGTCTTGATCGAGACGGGCTTAAACCTCTTGTAACAGAGGATGCAAACATTGAGCTCCTACTAGGTGAGGATGGTCGTGATTGTGATGGAGTACTAGGCAAAGATTGAGATTTCAGTGAATGAGTTGTTGATGACAACCTGTCCGATAAACTTGTCGAGGCAAGCTTGTGAGGTCCAGATACCTGCAGGGAATTACCATCAGCTGAAGCTCCAAGTCCTGCTCTACCACTTTGATGAAGTGATAATAACGCGGCAGCATCACTAGTGGATTTTTGTAAAGGTTTACCCGAAGAATCAGATGGCCGTGTTCTCCTCAGTGTAGACAACCCAACTACAGGAGCTGGTGCAGCAAGCCTGACAATCTTAGCACCAAGATCTACACTTCTATTTAATGAATTGGAAGATACTTTTCCACCTATTCTACTTGGCCAACGATGCTGATCTATCAATCTGGAATGCAAGGCATCAACCGGCTTAGAATTCTCTGATTGATCAGGCGCATTTTTCCCCTTAACAGGGCTCCTTTTTCTCTCTGGTGTGAGCTTTCGAGGAGCAGCAGGCGTTTCAGCCTGTCTATGAGCCACATTCGAAGATGACCTCAAAGTGCGGTCAGACAGAGCACTAGTCACTGGTTTTTCCTTCTTACTAACAGGAATTGAAATGCTATCAGATTGGAAGGAAACACTCAAACTTCTCATAGTGGAAGGCCACAAACCCTCTGGCATTCGACCATTGGCTGTTCTTCTGGACGACAATTGCACATCTGCAGAAGAATCCTGGACCGGCGTTGATGGACTTGGTGGGGAAGTGGGTGTGGAAGGCCGCTTCCTATCCACAGATTGGGATCTCTTGGACACCGACGGTGAGGATGGACGTGATGTTCTTGTAAGGGTTGGCGATGGGCAGCGCCGGGCACCAGAAGGCGATGAGGGAGTTGTTGAGGAGGGAGTGGGAGACTTGTACCTAGAACTAACTTCCCTCGTCCGAGGGCGGCGGGTAGTGACTGCATTGTTGTTCCTCTCCGCGGGAACCAACGGCAGTCTTGGGTTCCCCACGGCTGTTTGCTTCCTCAGCGCTGCTAGGGCTGATTCACGCACATCCATCCACACTATCCAGATCAAATTCAAACCGCATTGATGGAATTCGATTCTTTCATTTCATCAAACCAAATTTACGTACTCGACATCCTTTGCGTTTCATATAATCCCATCACATTCATATATCAACACTCAATGGAATAGCACAACCTGTTTCTTGAAAAGAAGATACTTTTCCCAGCAATAAATCTGTCACAAAACGCACAAATCAAAAGTAAGAGACAGCGGCAGAGGGAGGGGCTAAGAAAGCAAAAGAATAAATAACCCAGAAAAAAGAAAAAGGAACATTGAAAAAAAAAAAGCATACATCTTTACAGAGACTCAGATCCAATTGAGAATCAATCTGGGAACTAGAGCAAATACTCTCAAAAGGGTATTCTGTTTCCACAGAAACAAGCCCAAATCCAATCAGATCAGGCCATGGCAATGAAATTAGGAAGGGGGTAAACAACATCTGGTGCCAAAAAGGGTTATGGTTGGAGGTTGGTTTTGATAACCCACAAAACTGAATGCAAGGGTAGGGTTGGTAGGGACACAAAGGATTATTGGAGAGCCTGAGAAGAGAGAGTGGACAGTGGTGAGAGTGCAGGATAAGAGAAAAGGAAGGGTTGTACCGTGTGTGCTGGATAAAGCGTGTTGCCTTTCGATTTTTGCTCTGGTCCCTCTCACGGGAGTGCCATGGTCGGTTGGGCTGGAAAATAGGTCAACTCAACTCACACAACAAAACCCCACTCTCTCTCTCTCTCTGCCCAGTTTTCCCTTCTCTTGCAACTCTCTGTCTGAAAGGGAAATCAATGAAAGCGATCCCAAAACTTGCAGAAACAATCCAGAGCTTTTAGCTTTCTCTCTCTAACCCCCCCCCTTTTCTCTCTCTCTCTCTCTCTCTCTCTCTCTCTCTCTCTCTCTCTAACTGTTTCCAAAACAAAACTAAAATACAGAGTAATCCGGATCAACTGCCATAAATTTAATTACTTTACTAAAATAATGCTTAAGGGGTTTTTCTCCTATTTTTTGACTCCGACTGTCTCACACAAAAATTTGCGAAAAAACAATAAAAATCCCCTTTGCTTCTGTGGGGTTTTGTCTGCATCCACAATATTAAAATCTCCAATCATACGAAGGTTGAAACTTGCAGGTGCCATTGTTCATCGGGAAATGAGAAAAGACACGGAGGTCCACGTGGAAGAAGGATCATAATCCCTCCCCATGATTTTTTTCAGTGTAAAAACATCAAATTATGGGACAGCAGCAAACGCACATAAAATAAAGTGAACAAAACACATCGTTAATCGGAAATTCGATAAAAATATGGTTTTGTTTTTCGTTTTGACCATCGTAATTCATTTGTTTTTGTTTCATAGATAGATGTAGGAACTCAAGTCGATGAAAACGCAGAAAGAATTTTAAAAATTTGAGAAGAGAAAATTTGAAAAGGATTTCAACGAGGGATCTATGACATATGTCGGCAGTCGACAGGGCCGTGTCCCTCAAATCCAAAACACGTTTACTGCTTCACTGTTCAATGTTCATGCAATTTCTCTCTCTCTAAACACCAAAGTTTCAGTCTTGAGAGAGAGAGAGAGAGAGAGAGCGCTCAAGAATTCCCCCAAAAATGAAAACCCATGATAAATCAATTAATTTTAGGAAAATGAAAAGGAAATATTAACCGTCGGTAAACTACGGTTAATGGAAATTTAGCAACAAATAATATTGAATTTGAAAAACATTGCACGAATTCCTCGAATCGTCAAAACCCTAAATTCGCACCCCCATTATATTTGAGACTCACCGAAATCGGAAGGAAATTTAAGTTGATCTCTTTGAGAATTCGAATCGCGAGGTCACACGGCGGTGGTTGGGAGGCGTCGCCAGAAACGAAGTATTCTCCGGGAGGTGATCGGAGAGTCAAAGACACCCGGCGAGAAGTCAAGGATTTCCGGCGGGAGGCGGAGTTTGAAGGAGACACCGAAATGGAAAATGGAGAAAGGAAAAGGTATGTGTATTTGAGGAAATAATTAATATTATTTTCTGGTTTATTTAATTTGAAAATGGATTTTTGGAATTTTTAAAATAAATAAATTGCGCAGAAACGGTTACAGTTTGGAGGGAGGGACCATCAGAGGCTGTTGCTTTCGCGCCACCTACGTTGATACGGGCCCCTATCTCCTGCGCCCAGTTCCACAGAAGCGCGCATTAGGACCACTTGATTCAATTTATGTATTAAATTCAGAGCTTTGCCTTTGCCTGCATATTTACTAGGTAAAATGTCAAACACCAGTTTTCCATTGTTGCTTTTTATGGTTTTATACCAAGAAACAATGTCAAACTAGTTTACATTTTTTTCCGAGCTGTATTTTAATTTAAAGAGATTATATTCACACATCCCAAATAACTTCTCTTACATCTTTTTTATTTTTTAATATTTTCTACACATTACTAACATTTGATAGAAAAATATTTATAAAAAAAAAAAAAAAAGATGTGGAAGAAGTAATTGAAGATGTGTGAATATAGGTAGCGTTTGGTACGCAGACTGGACGGGACGGGACGGGACGGGACGGGACGGAACGGGACGGGACGGGACGGAACGGATGTTCTGTGTTGTGTTTGGTACGCGCAGGACGGAACAAGCCAGTTGTTCCGTTCTGCGTTTGGTAGCGCATGGACGGAACGGAACCAAAAGATTAAAATGACTAAAATACCCATGTTCCGTTCTGCGTTTGGTAACGCACGGACGGAACAGGACAGTTTTTTTTTTTTTTTTTTTTGGTTCAAATTTGAACACTATTATCCATTATTTGTTTTTCTTGGTCCAAATTTTAATAGGTATATGTTGTGTTCCACATGCAAACCCTTTTAAAATTTGTAATTTTTAATCTCCCAGTTTTCTACAACTCCATTCAAATTTTCAGCACAAACCCATCAAATTTTATTATGCAAATTGCAAAACCCACACCCCGATTCAATTTTTAGTCCCTAATTTTGGTCCTTTCAATTGTGGGTTGTTGTTCTGGGAGTTCAGGTTCTGCAAACATTAGAATTGGCCTTGATTCGATGGACACCCCTCTAAATATTCCCCATTGCATTGCGTGGCAAACCACACAAGAGCACAGGAGAAATGTTGAAGACCATGTTTCATGTTGTTCCGTTTTACGTTGTATTTGTTGTTTCGTGTGGTTTGGTTGGTTGTGGTTGTAATATATATAAAGCAAGCAATCTTAAGTCGACTCAAATAGATGGTAATAATATATAAAGCAAATTTCTTCGATCACTTGCATATCGAAACAAAATTTTTGAGATCTAGAACCATATCCAACTACAAATAGAAACTTAAAAACACAGCATTGGTCTGAAAGTAATACTGAAGATGTCAAGTCTTGATACAGGAAAACCACCGAAAGCAAGTCCCTTAGTCGAAAAGGCTGAAACCCATATCCTGCAAAAAAGAAAAAAACGATTTTAGTAGTTATTAAACAATCACAATAAAATTAGAACAGCCCAGCTTGCAAACAAAGCAAACTAGATATTATCAACAGCTGCATTTGACATAATATACTTACATCGTCTGATTCTTCCTTTTCTTCCACCTTCTCCTCCTCCTTCTGCTCGGCAGTGGCAGGAGCAGCAGCCCCACCACCACCGGCGGCTGCAGGTGCGGAATAAGCAACTGCACACCACCAGATGGAACAGATGCCAACTTCTCCCTTCCAGATGCGATTAGCTCGGTGATATCTTTTCCCTTGACTTCGGACAATAGCAACTCAATCTTGTCACTATCAGCCTCGGCTCCAACTGTAACCAAACAAATAATGAAGTTACATTTCAGAGTGCAAAACGTTGCTGTACAAATAATAATACACTTTTTTTAAATACTAGTACCAAGGGCAACCTAAGCATCTTCTCCGTGCAAACAGTACCTTGTCAAGTATAATTTACTACTAATGACACATCTCACATATGAAGGTATTTTCTAACTTTTCATCATCCCGGATAACATAATGACCGAATTCCAATGACAAAACCACTTCCATTTCAATACAGAAATTCAACCATGCGCATGGATATAGGTTGCAAGACTGATTATCAAAATTCCATCTCAAGTTAAAATTAATAAAAACTAATAGACGAAATGAGAGCATTACGCAACCGAAATCTCCACAATTTTGTTTTTTTAACATATAAACTAAATGAATAACTCTTTCATCCAAAAGTGGATGGGTGCAGGACTAGAACCCTTGCCAATGGTGTAGGGGTTAAGAGTTCAAAACAAATTCAAGCTAAGAGGACTAACATGACTAGGAAACCTGTATATAAAAGACTACATATACTAATTATCAGCATCCGTATAACAAACCGAAAAAATCTATCAAACATAAATTTAAATAAACCAAGAAAAGCCCACAAACGGAAATCCCAATTTAACACAAACAATACAATGACAATAATAACAATTTTAACTTGAATCGCACGTTGTTGCAGCAACAAAGAATTTTTTTAATATAAAAGTTACCTGATCCAAGAATGTCCTTCAAGTCAGCAGCTAGCTGAGGGGCTCGTCTTCCCTCCCAAAACAGCGAGCAAGTATGCAGCAACAACCTTCATCTCTGCCCATCCAAACATCACAAGGAATCAGACACACACACACATATAAACATACACATACACACACGCATATACATATGAGAATCGGAAGAGAAATTCAAAGATTTATGCACAAAAAAATCAGATTCAATTTTCTCTATGGTATTACGAAGATGGATGGAGGTATGTTGAGGAGAACTTACCATATTACGTATAGGGTGAACAAAGAGAGAGCTTCGTAGCAGAGCTTCAATGGCGGCCGGATAGGGAGATGCAGATCTGAACAATTGGGTAAACAAAGAACTTACCGTATTACGTATAGGGGCCTTTTATCCCTTACGAAAAGATAAATGTTTTTGAGGTTCGTGCACTCCTTCATCCTTGCTCCGAACAAGAAGAAGGAGTGCAAGACCGTTTCTGGTAGATAAGCCAAACTTAAAAGGGTCTTGCAATGGTTTTTTATTCTACTCTATATGTATCTACATACATACATGGGGCCTTTTATCCCTTTTATCCAAAGGAATCTCCCTTTTTTTTAGTAAATATAAGGGCTAGTTGTGGGATCCATTTTACGTTAAAATCCAACAATTATAGCTGTTTATTTTTAAGTCTTCATTCATAGAACATTTTTCTAAAAAATTAATTTAATTTGAAACTATTTACTCATTTGATTGTCATGATAAAATTTCAATATTTATTAGAATATAATGTTTGTCAATTTTTTCTAAACTCAATTTGATGTCTCAAACATTTCTTATTTGACTAATATTTTTTCAAGAATGATCTAAAATGTGCAGCTTGAAAAATAAACGATTTGAATCGTTAAAGTTCGATATGAAGTAGGCCCAACAATTAATCCCCATTTTTACACAAATATATATATATATATATATATATATTATTATTATTCCCTTTATGGTGCACTTAATCCTATTGATTTAGTCCATAAAAGGAAAAGAGAAAGAAAAAAAAAAATATATATATATATATATATATTAATCCTATTGATTTAGTCCATGGACTAAATCAATAGGATTAAGTGCACCATAAAAGGAAAAGAGACAAAAAAAAAATATATATATATATAGAGTACATATAAACAGACCAAAAGTTACATTTTGTGACCAAATTGCTGGCAAGACAATGATCAGCAATGCATGTGTCAGTTGTAAGTTTTATTGTGTATCCAAAGATGCACGAAGACATGATAAAAAGAAAAAGAGAAAGAAGAATGATGATTACAAGATAACTACC